AAGTTCTTCTCTCCTCCATATTGTGATCTTTTGAAACATTTTAAAATTAAGAAGCACATTGACAACATTTACATTTAGTTTAGATTTAAAGTTCTTGTGCTGACATCTGAACTATGCATCACTAGCCATCAAGAAGACCATGTGTTAATTGGTTTCATGTTAGTGAAATACAGGATGCTTAGTCTCAATAAAGCCTCAGCAATGATGCCTCTAAAGAAGTGTGAAAAACATTCAGATAAACTTTTGCAGTTGATTTATTTGGGCGTCTCTACTGTAAATGTCAGGGTTTTTGTGGTCAGTGACATCAATTAATTGACACCAAAATGCACAAGCATGTAGATGCCAGCTCTTCTGTGTTCTTCTCCTTGTCCTTTGGAATTTATGAACCTTGGCAGTTTGTGCAGGCTACAGGTCTGAGCTTTCAATCCTCCTGCTTCATTCCCTGGGGCTGTTTCCCCCAGTGGTTCACATATTCTGAGTGATGCCCTAAGAAGTTCTACACTTGGGATGAAATGATGCTGCTGGTGGGGGGAAAGCATTCTAGCCCCCCATTGGAAAGATTTTATTTCCATCCAGGGCCCCTAGGGAACATGCGTTGTTTTCAAACTCACAGACCCTTCTCTCTTGGTTGTGTGTTCTCTTTCCTTAGAAAAGGGAGTGTTGGAGAAGAGGAAGCAGTTTGTTCTGCAGTACACCTCAGCCTCCCCTGTGTAATGCTTTGTATTGCAATGATCCCATGGGTAATGTGCCAACTGGACAGGCTCATGGTGAGAACATGCTACATCCGAAATTTAATTATAGTGGTAGTAAATACTCCTTGGCAGCTCAGAGGAAGCCAATCTTCAAGGATGCTTTCTTTTTGTAAAGAAGCCCTTGACACAATTAGAGAGAAATTATCAAAGGGAAGAGTGGAGACCAAGTTCCTATCGCAATCTTGACGTACACTTACCTATAAGAAAGTAGTAATTATACTTACTAAACCACGGTACTTAGGCTACTCTCCAGCAGAGGAAAGTTTTTTCTTTTAACTCTCGCTGTGATTGTTTGTGACTATGTCTCATTATGGAACTCTGATTGGTCTTGAACTTGAAGCAATCATCTTGCCCCTAACTCCAAAATGCTGTGATTAGAATCATAAGTCACTATGTTGGACCTCTTTTAACTCTTTATTTGAACTTTAAATATTTTATTTTTACATGTCTGCAAGTTTAAAAGACCCCACATGTAACTACATCCAGTTCCAATAAATTCTAATTTTAAAGCCAGTCTTATGTATATAAATTTTATTTCTATATGCCTAAATCATTTTAAAACAAGCATATTTTTAATTAAGAAATATTTATAAAGATATACACAGGAATTTTATTACCAGCATTACAATAAAAGAGAAAAGAAAAAAATAATAGTTTACTTTTATTGGTGAAGTAAATCTTCAACCTGGATGTATATTTTCTATTGCAAAAATGAAAGAGCATGTGGGGTTTCCATGGCATATTTAATTTGTAAATTTTACATGGACATATGATTATGCGAGCTAACTCTGTCCCAGTGATTAATCTATTGTGTACACAATCACACTTGGGCTCAGGAACGCCCCTCTTCTGGTCACCTAGGAACTTCTCATTCGTCAACAACAAGCTGAATAAATTCTTAGGTTGCAGAAGAATGTTTGGCTAGCTGACCTGGATCATCTCCGAGATTTTAGGAGAAATAACCGTTGCCAAGTTTGAATGTGCTAAACCTTTAAGTTTTCTTGGCAGGAGACAAATATATTATTTTGGGAGCTTAGAAATGGATACAGAAGACATGGGCTTAGGTAAATTAGGGCAAATATTGAAGCAGATTTGGAGACAAAACCAAATGTTAAAACAGGCGCTCCTGGGTGATAATCTTTGTGAGGTGGCTGGTGGAGCCACTTGGGTAGCCACAGTGATCTTTTTGGGCCAAGGGCTCAATGAAGCCCTTCTTCAACTGTTGGAACACACAGCGGGGACCCTTCAGTCCACCTGCCAGCAGCTGTATATATTACTTGACAAGGATAATCAACATATCTGGAGACAAGGCAAGTAGTTTATTTTGTTTGCTTGGGTTTATACTTTCTTTTGAAATGTTCATTTGGTCAGTATTTAAGAGGAGCTATGTATAGAAATGCAATGAAGGCAGAATCTGTTTAGAAGAGACTGATACTATTATAGAGAAAGTGGGGGAAGGCAATATTCCACAGGATTCAGATGCTCCTCCTGCGTGGGCACAGATGAAGTGTTTTCAGTTTTCTCCAGTAGCTGGGTCACATTTTAAGGAGGGGGAATTTAGACTCTGCTAGGAAATAGGGCTATTTAAACTGACACCTCAACACCGAGCTGGAGTCATGCAACTGGAAATTCAGGAGCTTTGTCTGTTATTTGCAAGACCCAAGCCTTAGAGGTAGAAAAGTTCAGGACTAATTAAAGCAGAAGAGGCAGTTTTTCTAAATTGGAATAACGTGTTCTAACTCCAGGGTCATTTGAGCCTAGTCCTATTAATTACAAAAACACTGGAAAGACTGGATGAGCTAGAAGAAACTGGATGCCTACACGCTGAAGGCTGGATGTAAATTCCTGGGAATATGACCAGGTGTGTGTGTGCTAAAAAGTAGAGTAAATATGGAGAAAGCAGCATGGGAAGAATATGATCGTAACAGTGATGTTTTCAGAATATCTAGGTGGCATTATGAAATCCAGCTCTCAGACATAAAGTGTCATAGTGAGCAGATAGTCCTCATCAGACAGGCATCCCAAGCAGACAACACAAAGGACAAATAGTAAAAGTGAATCTCAGAGAACCTGTCCCAAACCTGTGTGACCCCAGGATCAGCAGCAGGAGCTCAGGAAGTCTCTAGAAGGATTGAACACAGTCCTAGACAAGTTAAGGCAAGTAGTCAGCTACCAAAAGGGATGAGTTCAAAATAAACATGGGATCTCAGACGCAAGACAAAGACAAAGTTGTCAGAACTGCAGTGCAGAGGCAAGCCCAGGCTAGTGGAAGGTGGTTTGGTGACAGTGAGATGTGAGGACATGACATACAGACTGCCAGCTCCGAGACGAGAGGACGGAAAGGTTCAGCCAGAAAGAAGCTTGAGAAGCAAGCTGCAAAGATGGGAGCTGGGATGAACTCGGGATGGAGTGAGAAGTGGAATGACTCAGATATTGATGATGCCTCGGCTTAGAGCAAAGCAGTCTGTCTTATTTTGGTTGTCATTGATTCGCCGCTGCAGGATCCAGTCAGAGAATAATATGGTCAAAGTTACTCTTTGAATGAACAATTTGACATATTTTAAGAATCACATGCTCAGTAATGGGAGGATTGAATTTCGAGCCAAAATACAGCATCTGTGTCATCATAAAAAACATAGCTATTGCTTTTCTGTTGTTAACCTGTCTTGGAGTGTTCAGATAAATTTATGTTTAATATTTGAAATGGACAAATGATATTGTATATTATCTTCCAAGGCAAACAAACAACTGTCTAATATACCAAATCATTAAGGAGTTGTTTTTATCCTATTTGGGAGTATGCTCATTTTTCAATAAAATAATAAAGTTTAAGGCATACTCGTGGGTGAAAAGGGTCAGTTTCACATTTTGGCTACTATGTTTAAAGTAAAGCTTGCTTTCTTTGTAGTTACATAAGTGTTAAAAGCTGGCAAACTGTGCAAATATTTCCTTCGTCTATGTAGAAGTGCAATTTGACTTAGTTTTTACTTTTTCTTTGTGTGTACATGTGCAGAAATTATTGCTTTCATAGACTGCCTCATGAAAATGAATGAACATTTTGGGAACACTGCTATGCTTCTACGGAAAGAAGCAAAGGAGATGTGTAATTTATGCAGCATGCATGAGGACCGAACTCCACAGCAGACAATATCGGCCATTCAAGATACCAAAGCAACAGACATTGCTCCAAGAAGGGAACTAAATGTCATGGAAACAGCTACTGCTTCTCCTACAAATGCAGGGGAAAGTCATTACACAAACCAGGTCCAGTTAAAAGAAAATCAAACTCAGATATATTCTGAATTAGGGGAAAATGAAAACAATGCATCATTGAGTGGAAATGTAATAGGGCAAGAAGAGTCACAGAGCACAGTGTTCCCAGATAATGCAGAAAATGAAAATGAAAAACAAATAGAACACATGACCGCTGAGAACATAAATGGCAACAAGGGAGACATTCATGATGTAATCCAGACAACAGCAAGAGACACTCGAGAGAGCTCAGAAAGCCAAGGAGAAGAGATTACCACATCCCCAACAGCATGGGATGTCTCTAGTAAGGATGGGAAGAGTCTTCATAGTGAGTCAGAGAGTCTAAAACAGAAGAATAACATAATGGAAAAGGAGTAAGTAAAGGCACCATGAGAAATGGTTACATATGCCTATTTCTACCTTTATTTCTGTTGTTCCTAAATGCCTTAATCCTGCTGCTATGACGAACTATCACAGACTGGTTTGTTTTGAGTGAAAGAAGTTAATTTCTTGCAGTTCCAGAGGTAGGGAGACAAACAAGGCACAGGAGATTCAGTATCTAGTGACAACTCACTGATTCACGGGCAGTGCCTGCTTATTGTGTTCTCAAATGGTGTGAATCAGCTTCAAGGGACAAACCAGCTTCAAGGCCCTTTCTTTATTAATGACACTGATCCCATCCGTGAGGACTGTGCTATGACCTAATTAGGTCCCTCAAAGGCCCTGTGTCCTAACACAGTTCCCTGTGGGATAAAATCTCAACATATTAGATATGAGGGAATACGCAATGAAGTTTCATAATTTTGGGTCATGTCTCCAAAAGTTGCTGTAAACTAGTGATTCAGGTTGAAACCACCCCAAAGAAATTTATGCAGCTGCGATTGCTAATGTCACTCTGTTCTTCATCGTTTCAGGAAACATTCACAAATCAACTGGTGTTCTGGTGAAAAAATAATTAGTTATGATAGTAGTTCAAACAATTGTTCAGAACATGAACACTTTTCTAAACAAAATTCAATTTTAATAGAAGAAAGAGATTTCAGAATGTTAAAAAAATTAAAACACAATTTTCTAACATGATTATGTAACTAATAAATACATATGTCATAACTATAAAACACATATTATGGATATCTTCAAGATAATTGTCATCAGTCTTTAAACTCTGTCTTCAGAGCTCCAGGAGATTTGTGGGTAGGCTTTTCAGGATTCTTAAAGGCAAATGTGATGCTCATAACTATTTAGGTCAGAAAATTTTCAGAAGTCTTTCTTTTTCTTACTAAATTCTTTAAAAGCGCATGGAATAAAGAGGAGAAAAAGACTGATGTATTATATGAGCTATCTCCCCCTCCCAACTGTAAGGTAACAATAATTCTTGATTTGTATAAACTGATAATTTCTAATTATGTTTTCCCATATAAATACAAAATCTTCCTTAGCAATGTGTTATAGTGAGAAAATATTTAGGGAACAGGGAAAAATTTATTTTTATTTGCTGTCTCCTTATGAGTCGGTTTTTTGTCACTGGGCAACTTGTGTTTTCTTTTTCTTTCTTTTTACCTGTGTGTTTGTTTTTTGGTCTCAGTTTCTCATTTATAAGAGTACTTTCTCCTTCCGTGGAGCATTTGATAGCAAATGAGACAATCACAGAGGGGCCTAGCGTTGAGTCACTCAGTCATATTTCACACTAAGCTAAATGTTCGCGTATTATTTGACATAATGCCCAGCTACTTTCACAATCCTCTCCCTCCTCTTTTCTGTTCTCATCTGGATCCATAACATGCTGCTGATCCACTATATAGATGCACAGCGCCGTTCCCAGGAAAACATCACCATGTGTATGTTTTTTAGCAAGTACTTTGCTCACTGATCACGGGACGCTATAAAAAAAAACAAAGAAAAAAGAAAGATAGTAGTGTATCCACAGCAAAAAGAATTTAATGAGTTCTATAAATAAATCTCTCAATGCATGCAGACCTCCGTGGTTTGCAAGAATTATTGCCCCTGACAAACAGCCTCTAAAATTGTCAATATGTGGTTACCCATTTCATTTGAGAAAAACATTGATGTTTCGTATCCTCCCTTGAGAAATGACTCAAAACAACAGCTAGTGAGTCACTGCCTGCACCACTCCCTCTAACACCTCCTTTAGGTGTTCCCTGGTTAGCGACTTCCTTTGTGGCATTGAACCAATTGTGCTTGGCTTGCATATTTGCGAAGATGATTCTTCATTGCAGTTCCCAGGCTACTAAGCCATCACACACCACACAAAGGTGTATGTGATAAACAAAACCTTGCTTGGGAACTTCTGTGGTTTTTCAACCTTTAGTTTTCCATAAGCCTCATCCTTCGGAGGTAGCTGTACTAATGTGTAAACAAAGGGAAACAGTAAACCAGTGAAATTTATTTAATAACAAAACAAGTCATATTTGATTAGGACTATGGAGAATGTATTTACTTACACATCTCCCTTACATTTTATCTGTTATTCGGGAACCACACCTCATAGAGGTTGGCTACATTGAGATTGTTTCTAGGATACAAGTGCATTCCTGAACTTATATGAAGCTGGTTCACTGAATCGTCTACTGAATAATGTTTTCTTCTCAATTATCATTATCTCTAACAAAAACATTAAGTAGATCAGCATGCTGGAGATCTTTTTCTAAGTTCAGAATTGTTTACATAAATAAACAACCTCTATGAGTTAAACGTTTTATTACATTTCTTTATGAAAATGTAAATTGTATTTAATAGTAAACTTTAAATTGTGCTAACAGTAAACAAAAAGCAGCTAAAACTTTATTAGTGTGTAACTGAAAAAAGAAACAATGCTGTGATGACAAAGATCCTGGCATTTATCTTCAACATTGCTTTTGTTCTCATTTTTTTCTCTAATGAGTAATAAATATCATCAAGAAGAGAGCTCCAAGTTCTCAAATCATTATTGAATATCCATTAGTATTAAAGAGGTTTAAATAATATATCTCATTCAAACTTCCCAAGATCATAGATTAGATATTAGTGTCAAGTTGTAATGGATAGAGCAATCAGTACTTAGGAAAGATTTGAGAAAGGCATGACAATACTTGAGAGCTTTTGCTTGCACACTAAAGATGCACAGAGTCAACTATTAGTTCTGAAACTGAACGTCTATGAGATTTGTAGCAAGTTAAAAAATTTCAGCTTCAATTTCCCTATCTGTAAAATAGTTAAGATAGTAGCACTTGATACAGAAGCTATACAAATTAGATAAAACTTTTTGGATCAAATATTATCAACAGAAAGCATTAAACTATTGACTATTCTGCGTGGTTCTGATATTTATAGGCAAACAAATAGGAAATGCCTGGTCTCAAATTTGAATTCAAATTTATAAGACTCTAAAAATCTTTGCAAAGATGATGTTGAGGAAAATAAAATAGTTACAATAAACTTTTCAAATAATAATCTGAGGATTAGAAATAATCTATTCCTATTTAATAAGACTAATGTATAAAAAATTAAATTTTATTTTATCTAGTGTACCTGAACAATTTCTGTACTTCATCTTCATTACTTCTTCTTGAGGTGGTTGGAGTCATACAGATCCCTGGTAAGCAGGAAGACAGGCAAATAAATAAAAGGTTTTAGGTAGATAAATGTACTTTAGACTTAAGCATTTATGATAGGCAACTTCCTCATTCTTCTTCCTCTCCAAGTCAAGGACTTGCTGACCTTTTTCTCTACAAAAGGAACTGTTCAGAATTTTCAAGTCTTCCAAGAGAGGTGGGGAGTCAGGGGTGAGCCTGTAAAAGAGAGCAGTTAGCTTTTCTTCTTTGTCTGGGTTATTCAGGGTCCTGCAATATCCCAAACCAGTCAGTTCTTAGGAAGAAAGGGAATCCACCCCACCCCTAATCGTATAGAGTCTGAATACACTCTGCACCATTTTTAATCCTCTCTCTGTGTGTCTTTATCTCTCTGTTTCTCCTTTTGTCTTTCTCTGTCTGACTGTCTTTATCTGTGTCTCTGTCTCTGTCTTTATTTTTGTGGGGTTTATGTGCATGCACATGTATGTGTAATTTTGCTTTAAGTAAAACTGGATGACTGCTGGGACTTCTCTCTTTTCTGTCTTTCACTTTCAAATCACCAGAAAAAGAATCCATTCTTGCAATATTAGAGGACGTACCCATAAAGACTCTCCTCACAGTTACATTCATTTCTTTAAAAACATTATCTATTTTTACTTTATTATATGATGAATAATAGTGAGGAATAAAGTAACAATACTGATAATAAAATTAGTCAAAAACAATCATAGTTTATCTTCTTAGCTAATATAGTTAATACAGTATTTCTTACAATGTGAGGGCGTAGTTCTTGATAATTCCTGTAGAATAATACATTTAACACAAAGTTTTCCTGCGAAGTGGATATCATTTTCACCCCATATTAGAGGAAATTGTGATATTTGACTACAAAGATTTAAAAAAAGAATAGGAAAGCTAAAGTTCACATCAAGCAATGTGCCTCAAAAGTTGTGACCGTCTGCATTTACCTATAAAGTGCAAGAATAGAGTAGTTGAAAATGAAGCTCACTTTTTCTCCCTGCAGGTATCTTGACATGCTGAGTGATGGAGCTGACCCTCAAGTGTCTTGTTACATCACTGCCCCATTGCATGTCCTGCAGCAGGTGGACTGCCACATAGTTAACAGCCTGAGTTCCTTTATAGTGAGTGATAACGAAGAGTTGGTCAGCAACGTCATCATTGTTGAATGCTCAGATGAGGAAAAGAAAATTCCATTCCCAATATGTATTGCGATTCCATTCAAGGCGAACTACAAGGGCAATTACAGAGACATAATGGTGAAAATGTCGGACACAGCCTTTCAGTCAAGTTACCTGACTCCAAATTCACTGGAAGGAATGAGGGGTAGTTATAAGGTCAGTACGGCCTGAACGACAACTGCATTTGTTGTTTTCCTTTTCTTCTTATAATTCAAAATATTATGTTGTAGTGTAATAATAATTCTTCCATTGTATAAGTGTGGATACATTTGTATTAGAACATTCATGATTTTTCCCTAAATACCGTCTATGAAGTCCAAACAGTCGAAATTATAGTAATAGAGAATGGCCCTAGGACTCACTCAATAAATATTAATTTTGTCTCCTAGAAAGCAACCAGCATCATAGTTTAATTAATTAGCTTTATGGTTTATACTGACTTCATAAACATATCTAACGTATTTGACTACTGCCTATACGGAAACATTAGAATCTTAAGATGTTATTGTTTTAGTTTTAATTATTCACAGATTAGAAGAATATATATAAAATGGAAACACTGTGTATGTGCATGGTTTGATTAATTTATTAAATTTATAAAGGGATTAGTCTAAACATTGAAGAATCTATATTTGGTAGTTATTTGCGGGCAGTAAAGGAAGAAATCTGGTTTCCACATTTGGCTGCAGTGTGAACTTAGCTGGATCAAGACACCTCTCTGTGACACAATTTTTCTTATTTGAAAAATATTATAATAATGCTTGCCTGGTAATACGACAAAATTAAATAAAAAAACTGCTGAAGAAAATGGGGAAAGCCTTTATATAGTGAGTTGTTAATTCATTTTTACCATTTGAAATGGATTTTATTGTAATATTATTAAAGATATCTATGTTAAAAATTAAAATGTTGCTGAGACAGAACCCAGAATTGCTACATTTAGTATTAGAGAGTTGATGAGGACTCAAGTTAAGGGTTTTCTGTAGGCTACTGAATTTATTTTTAACTAACTAAGGTGTTTATCTTTTTCCATGCAAATAATACATTCTGTCCTTACGGTTTGTTTACAAATCAAATCTAGGTTATATAGTTAGATAAGAAAGCTATGTCTGTTCTCATTATTCATATTCATCTTATTAGATTTAGACTAGCCTCCTATTAATATAGAAGTCTGATTAGCATTGCTCTAGAGTAGGCTTCTTAATCTTGGCGAGTCTATGTGTCTTTTATAACAAGTACTTTAGAAACGGCTCACAGTACAAGAGCCTTTCCCAGATGGGCTCAAACGATGTTTTGTAAATGAATAATCAAGACACAAGAAAAATTAAGAGGATCATTGTCTACAAAAAAACTGTACTTTTCTTTACATAGTAATCTAATGAGAGTTACTGCTAATTTTAGCTCAGGAACATTTGAATTCTGGACTCCTTCCAAAGTTTTATGTGGGTCCTATGACATTTAAACGCTCTAATTCCCAAAAGCCTTTTTAGTTTCCCCAGCATCTGCCAAATGTTGCCTCAGTGCTCAGCAACCACCACTTGTTCCCAGGAGACCTTTTCTTCTCACTACTTTCCCTCTGGCCACTGAAGACAGATCATTGTGCTCAGAATTTTCCCAACCGTGAGATTGGGAAATGTTTCCCTTAGTCAGCTTTCAAATGATAGATTATTTTCCATTGTGAAGAACCCTGAAATGTTTGTGTGTGTGCATACGCTCTTATCCACTCATGCTGGGTGGAGACAAGCTGGTATTGTGAGAAGCATGAAGAGAGTAAATTGCTTCTTAGTTTGCCTCCTTGTTTAAAGCATTGGTCATTATATACACAGATCATTATAAACATAGATCATTTTCTTTCTTTAATGGACTCAGTTTCATTTTGCATGATAAAAACTGAATGCATGGTTGGATATACGATTATTTATTTGAATATAGATGCACAAGAAAGGAGTAGTGTGATACTCTGTAGTTATCTGTTTCAACTGCAGAAGAAACAGAGACAATAACTTTATTATGGCATCTGAAGATGCTGTGATCTGTCAGGAGGAAGAATTTTTCCAACAACACATTTGCTGCAATGTTAGAATAAAATGCTCAAGTGGTAAAATCTTTTCCTTAGAATTCTGTAAAATACCATAGGAAGTTCTAGACAAGATCTACAAATAAAATTCCTTCTGTCAAAAAAGAAAGAAAAGAAAAGAAAAGAAAATCATCCTAGCCAAAATGGCTAGGATTCCAGAAGTAACTAAAACTTATGAAGCTGTTATGACTACTTATTATACATGTGTAATATTTAACTTGTTACAAAATAAATTCATTTCTTTCTCATTTCTCCGTGGAAAAGACCAAACTCAAGAAAGTCTTAACATATACTTATATTTTGCCTCAGGGGAGGGCCATCCACACTCAGTGAATGAGATTCCTTCACACCATGGGGGAGTTTATGGGTAGCATATACATATTTTGGTTGTTTTGACAGCCAACAGAATATGTGTTATATATGTATTTCCCGAAAATAATGCTCACTGCTTACTTGAGTAAAGTGTTTTTTACTCCATATAGGGAACTTGTGCTGCCGTGAACATTTACAAGTTGGGTATGTTTTCAGTAGTGTCGTGTTTAAAGAAACAGTCTTTCACGGTAACAAAAAAAGGGCTCACTCTGAAGTCAACTGTGGATGCCCGAGTATCCTTCAGTTATCCTGCAGGAGTTTTCAGCTCACCGGTGCTCATACAACTAAAGGTAAAAAGTAAAAAGGGAAATTATATCCTGTCTAGTGGGTCAAGCATGGTCCTAAGGATGCAGAGAATGCAGGCCATTCTCCTATAGACATAAAACTCATCTTCTCCTGTACTTGGGCTCATCTATGATGAGTTGAGTGACACAGTCACATGTTTAGCACATCTGAAAGTACATCTCTGCTTCTCTTTGCAAGGCTTTTCTGAATAGTTTTATGCATTACTAGTTGTGTTAGCAAACACTTGATGAATACCTATAAAACAACTACTGACAAATTTGGGGGCATTTCTATAAATCCAGATTTCCAAATAAATTAATAGAGAAAGATAAGAAGCTACTGGTCAACCATGATGGGTTCATCCACTGAAACAGTTTACCTGAGCTAACAGGAGCTCACCAACTCCAGCCTGACTGGGAAGGAACAAGCATAGGACCAAACTAGTCTCTCTGAATGTGGTTGACAGTTGCATGGCTGGGACAGACTGAGGGGTCACTGGCAGTGGCACCAGGATTTATCCCTACTATATGTATTGACTTTTGTGGATCCTGTTCTCTTTGGAAGTGTACCTTGCTCAGCCTAGATATAGTAGGGAGGGCCTTAGACCTTCCACAAATCAATGTGTCTTTACCTTCTCTGAGGATTGGATGGGGTGTGGTGGGAGGGTGTATGGAGGGAATGGGAGGAGAGGAGGGAGAGGGAACTTGGATTGGTATTTTTTTTTAAAAATCTAATAAATTTTTAAAAATAAATTAAAAAAGGAATGTACTGGTTTGTTCAAATAGTTATTACCAAGATTTTTGGGTTCTATCTATTAAAGAAAATCAGATTTTTTGAAACGATTTAATGTACACAAACACTATATTCATAACATGTAATGCTATATCAATATACATCCCAGAAGATTTACATTCTCCGATTATATTCCTTCTCATTCCAGCCTTGTTTTCCCCATTCTTTCTTTCCTTTTTCTCCTAGTTCCTATCACAAAAGTAAGGAGAAAGATTGGAAAGAAAGCTTGATTGCAATATTTCCTTTGAAAATTTCTTCAAACTTTATGCTGTGGTAGCTTTACTTCAACTTTTGTTGAGCCACATGATCTAAGGAAAGTGATAATTAAAAATTACATGAAATGTCATCTTTGTTTTCTTGATCATGTTGTTTTTAGCTAAGAGTGTTTCTAAAACACACAAATACACAAACATATATATGTATAAATAAACACATTTGTTTTTGTGTTAGTGTGTATATATGTGTGTGCGTGTATATGTGAGTCCATGCATGAGTTTGTGTGTGTATGTGTGTGTGTGTGCATGAATGTGTGAATAAGATATGATGTTTTAAGGGATTTTACTCAATTGTGTGCTGTTACATAAAGAGTTTTATTTCCAGGCAATAATGTACAGAGAAACACATAACAATGTATTCCCTTAAATTTACAGAAAATTGTTTTAGGAACATACTAATATTTGTATCTTCTGGATGTATGTGTGCATATCTGTGTTTGAGGTATATACATGAGCATATTTTTCCTTCCTTTTTGTTTAGATTCAGCCAGTTGATTCTTCTCTGGTGTCGTATTTAAAAGCACATCAAGATTCTTCCTACCCAGTACAGTCTACAAGTCCTCTTATCCACGTCCAGCACCCTTTAACTCATCCTTTTCAGAAACCAGTCACAGTATTCCTCCCTTGCTCCCCTCTCTCTGAAAAGAAGAATATTCAGTCTGAACAAGATCACAGGAGACCAGAGAGTGCCACAATGCACAGAAGTCTGCCAACACCTTCATACTTCAACAGGTGGGTCGGAGACCTCCTGTGGCTAACCAGTTTTACTGGAGACAAAGAACCTTCCATGATTAACTATAATCAGATGGCTTATATTTAGATATCTGAGGAAAATAGTGTGAAGTATGTTCTCATTGTTGACCCGCAATAGAAAAGAGTTTCAGTTCTCATGGACTCAAAACTGTGTCATGTGAAAATATTATGCTTTTTTTTCATTTATTTTTTTTATTTTTAAAACAATCTTATTTTACATACCAATCCCAGTTCCATCTCCCTCCAGTCCTCTCACTCCCCCCACCTTCTCCCGACCCCCCATCCACTCCTCAGAGAGGATGAGGCTTCTCTTGGGGAGTCAACAATGTCTGTCACATCTCTTGAGGCAGACCCAAACCCCTTCCCCTGACTCTAGGCTGAACAAGATATCACTCCATAGGGAATGGGCTCCAAAGAACTAGTTCATGCACTAGGGATAAATTCTAATTCCACTGCTAGTGGCCCCACAAACTTCCCGAGCCACAAAACTGTCATCCACATTCAGAGGGCCTTGTTCATTCTCATGCAGGTTGTGACAAAATGGTGCTTTCTAATAATATAGATACAAGATTAAACCTTTCAAGAATTTATGATATGGTTAGCTATAATAATGCAAGATAGTACTTAAAATTTTTTCATTCATCAAATAAGATAAATTTGATCTTTTAAAAATAAATTAAAATTTCCATGTGGTGGTGATGCATGCTTTTAACCCCAGGGTTTGTGTCAGATGAAGGGGGATGCTTGTGAATTCAAGGTAAGCCTGGTATACAGAGCAAGTTCCAAGACAGCCAGAGCTACGCAGAGAAATCCTGTCTCAAAATTAATTTATTTATTTATTAATTAAATTTCAATTTATATGTACCTACAAGTGTATTCCTTCTCCCATGTTATATAATTAAACATCTTCATAAATAAAGTCAAATATACATATTAACTCACTAGTCAACATAAATAAAAAATGAAAGGCTAACAAATAGAATATATTGAAGAACCTTAAACCTGATCTTAATTTGCACTTTTTAATTTAACATTGATTTTCCTTGCTAATAGAGAAGGCAAAAGGGGATGCTTCCATTCGTTAAACATGAAAGGACTTGTCTTGAAAAACAAGAATAATAGCTACTACTATCCAAGAGTCCCTCTGCAGCAGATTTGTTTTGTATATTGTTTCCCGCATTATTGTATCAATGTGAAAGTTAGCTGTAGTGACATGAAGAACCTTTGAAAGTCTGCTAACTAGTGAGTGATGCAGTCATGAACTGAACTCACACGCTTCCTCTTCGTTGACTTGCCATCATTTGTCTGGGTTAAGATTTATATTCTTGGTTAGAGTAACCCCAAGATATTTTATGCTATTTGTGGCTATCATGAAGGGTGATGCTTCTCTGATTTCCCTCTCTGCTTCTTTATCCTTTGTGTATAGGAGGGCCACTGATTTTTTGGAGTTGATCTTGTATCCTGCCACGTTACTAAAGGTGTTTATCAGCTGTAGGAGTTCTTTGGTAGAGTTTTTGGGGTCGCTTATGTACACTATCATATCGTCAGCAAATAACGAAAGTTTAACTTCATCCTTTCCAATTCGAATCCCCGTGATCCCCTTATGTTGTCTTATTGCTATTGCTAGAACTTCAAGCACTATATTGAAGAGGTATGGAGAGAGTGGACAGCCTTGTTGCGTTCCTGATTTTAGTGGAAAGGCTTTGAGTTTCTCTCCATTCAGTTTGATGTTAGCTGTCGGCTTGCTGTATATTGCTTTTATTATATTTAGGTATGATCCTTGTATCCCCAGTCTCTCCAACACCTTTATCATAAATGGGTGTTGAATTTTTGTCAAATGCTTTTTCAGCATCTAGTGAGATGATCATATGGTTTTTTTCTTTCAGTTTATTTATATGATGGATTACATTGATAGATTTGTGTATGTTGAACCAGCCCTGCATCTCTGGAATGAAGCCGACTTGATCATAATGAATAATTTTTCTGATGTGCTCTTGGATTCGGTTTGCCAGTATTTTATTGAGAATTTTCGCGTCGATGTTCATGAGTGAGATTGGCCTGTAATTCTCTTTCTTGGTTGTGTCTTTGTGTGGTTTTGGTATTAGGGTAACTGTAGCTTCATAAAAGGAGTTAGGCAGTGACTCTTCTGTTTCTATATTGTGGAATACGTTAAGGAGTATAGGTATTAGCTCTTCCTGAAAGTTCTGGTAGAATTCTGCATTGAAACCATCTGGTCCTGGGCTTTTTTTGGTAGGAAGATTTTTGATAACAGCTTCTAGTTCTTCACGACTAACAGGTCTATTTAGATTGTTCACCTGGTCTTGGTTCAACTTTGGTATATGGTACTTATCTAAAAAAATGTCCATTTCTTTTACATTTTCCAACTTTGTGGCATATAAACTTTCGTAGTAAGATGTAATGATTCTCTGAATTTCCTCTGTGTCTGTGGTTATGTCCCCCTTTTCATTTCTGATCCTATTAATTTGCAAGTTCTCTCTCTGCCGTTTGATTAGTTTGGATAGGGGTTTGTCAATCTTGTTAATTTTCTCCAAGAACCAGCTTTTTGCTTCATTGATTCTTTGAATTGTTTTCTTTGTTTCTATTTTGTTGATTTCAGCCCTCAGTTTGATTATTTCCAGTCTTCTACTCCTCCTGGGTAAATCAGCTTCTTTTTTTTCTAGAGCTTTCAAGTGTGTTGTTAAGTCTCCAATGTGTGCTTTCTCTGTTTTCTTTAGGTGGGCACTTAGTGCTATGAACTTTCCTCTTAGCACTGCTTTCATAGTGTCCCATAGGTTTGAATCCACCATAAATATAAAAGAAGATTTATATTCTTGTTCCTATTATGCTTGCAACTTCAGAAGCTTAGGCAATACTATGTTGGTTTGTGATGAGGGGAGGAAATAAACAAATGATAGAGAACATAGAAACAGACATCAATTTTGCTACGTAACTTCAGCAGCTGAGCCACTTTCACAGTTCTTTACTTTTCTTATATATTCTCATCATGTATATACCCATCATACATACATACATACACACACATATATGCACACACACACACACACATATCTATCTATAGATATGGCAATGTGACATATAATTTCTTCCCATTCCAGTTCCAAACACTCCATTGTTAAAAATATTCTGACCTATAAAATATACTCTTAAGATGATATTTGAATTATTGTTTTTAATATCTTCTTCTAAATTCTCTTATTTCTATTTGTCACCTATTACAATTTCCTAGATACTTGATAGTTCCTTGCTGCTTACACCTCAGTCTTGAGAATTCCCATCTGTGGCCATTTCTTTTGTTAGCTGTCAGTCACGGCTCTATATCTTTATTTGGGAACTTTAATGCCTGGATGGGTACCATAGGATTTCTGCTGGCATGAAATGGAGCCAATTTCCTCAGGTGGCATTTATTTCTGTCCCTGTTGCGATGCAACTCCTACTTCAAAGGGACTATTTTCAAAAATCTCAATATGCTAAGCCTTCAAGTTCATCTTGCCAGTGTGCCTGTGATCCCAATGATGATCAGCTAGTATTCTGCTTATTCAGATATTGCTTATTGCTGCTGCCTCCTAATTCTTGGTTATTGGAAGGGTGCTTGTCCATATGGAAATCCCCTCGTTCCACTCTGATTGTTTCTTCTGATGTAACTCTGACCTAATACATATTTTTTTTTTGTAGAAGATTTTGGGAAATTTTTTTCAGAGTCCCTTGTCTTACAAAAGTCAAAATATTTTATTTAAAAGTCATATTTATTATCAACTAACCAGTTCACTTTATTGAGGATAGACCCTCAAATTACCCATTTCCAACTTGTTACTTCCCATTCTGTGTTATATGTATTAAATATAAAGTCATTTAGAGAATCCACTTCAGAATGAAATGGTAATGTTTAGATAGAAACATACACATGCTGCTCTATCCTTAGGTGCTAGTATTGTCTGATCCATACAGGAAAGCCCCACGTGTCAGAATAATGACACAATGTTTGTGAAACATTGGCTTGGTCAGCTATGGAGTCAATAAAATGCTTTCCATCGGTTAAACCTGAAGCTATTGTTTTGTAAAGTTTTCAAACATGCCACAATACTATTGCATTTAAGAGTAGTAAGTTCCTATGAGTTGCAAAGCCTGTTTGGGAAAATCAAAAGGAAACTCCCCATTTGAACACTCTTTAGTAGCCTGTCTTTCCACTCACAGAAATAGAATAGTGAAGTGACTATAAGCAGAACGTTTTATAAAGGGACACTCTTCTGCATGTCTCTTATGTGGTATTAAAGGAATTAAGGAAAATTGACAAACGTGCGGTGATGGGTGACTGTCAGGCTTGAGACCATGTACCCTGGGCTGCGCACCTATCATCTCATCTTCTTGTCAGATTGTCTGGGCAAAATCAACCGAGTTTCTAGAGATTACCTTTCTGTCCAAGTCGACTCAATAGCCGATTTCCATGTTAGTTAATGTCACTGCGATAAGAAAACTTTTAACCTTAAGTGGGTAGAGCTTTTCCTCTGAATGCATAGGCATTGGCAAGAGAACAGCTTGGGACTTAAGAAACAGCAGCATCAATTCCTTGGTTTGTTCACATTTTAACATAAACAGTAAATTTTCTGTTGCTTCGAAAAATACGCTCACTGGTAATATCGAAAAAGAAAGTTAAGATGAAGAGAAAAATAGGTAAAGATGATTTTTTTCTATAGAGAATTTTTCTACTTTCTCTATTTGCTCCACTAATAAACATGCATTAATATTAATTGCTTCATCTTATAGTTTGGTAAAGTGTATTTATTTCTTACTTTACTCATAGGAATCTTAACAAATGTTACCTCACTTGTATACACATTGGTATGTGATATTCATTGCCTTGGGGATGGGTGGATAAATAGTCAGGTTAGAAACAAGAGACTTCTGAATGAAAATTGATTGGAGTCACCACCCTTCTTTTTCCGCGAAGTACAGCATTATGGAAATATTTCTTCTTTGTTAAGTTAGATATTGTGAAGCCTCCTGGGAAGAAAAAAACAAATACAAAGAAAGGAATTTGAATGGGTAGTTCCTGATCTTTAAGACAGGTTGGCAATGTGTATAATTTCACTTTTGAAAAAAATAAACATTTATGTTAGTGCTTAGCATGCAGTGTCTTTGGCAGCACAGTCTCAGGGAATGGTACATGATTTATGTACCTTGAAGAGCGTTTCTTATATTTTTGAAAAATAATGCTTGGAGTAGAGGACTGAGCTTGTGGTTGCTCTAATGTTGACAGATCATGAGGAATCCTCAGTTATCACAAACAGACATGTGGTAGATTAGATTATGGAGTCCATGATAAGTGTAAATGGGACTAAGAACATTGTCAATTAAGCAAGACCCCAAAAGTTTATGATTTGTTCATTTAAACAGAATAATTGAATCAGGAAAAGGAAAAAAAATAAAACTTAACTCTTAATATCAATTGCTGAATTGAAATCCATATGGATTATACTGTAAATAAATATTAAACTCAGAGTGCATATTTTGACCCAGAAAATAATCACTAATTTTGCAAACTAAATACAAAATTATGTAGAAAATAGACCACTGGAATTTCCTCAGTATGTCATATACCCTTGGCTATATGACCTGCACACATTCCTTGTCCATTTATTTTCGGTCTTAGGGTTCCTATTACTGTGATGAACATTGTGACCAAAAGCAACTTGGGGAGGAAAGGGTTTATCTGGCTTACTTTTCCATCTCATACTGCATCATCCCTGAAGAAAAGCTAGGCAGTAACTGAAATAGAGCCCACCAAGGAGTCCTGCTGTCTTCCTCTCCATACCTTGTCTAGCCCGCTCTTGTATACAACCCAGGACCACTTGGTCAAAGATGGCATCACCCACAGTGGTCTGCTGCACATCAAACAGGAAAAATGAAAACTCCCTGCGGGCTTCCCTACAGACAATCTGATGGAAACATTTTTGCATTTGAGGTTTCTCTTCCTGGGTAACTCTGTCTTGTGTCAAATTAACAAAAGTAAGAGTCATGAAACACTTCTTTTTAAAACAGCTCCATCAAAACGTGCATAATTTAAAATGAGAATTGTTTTCAATTTCTGAGTAAAAGAGTTCTTTGTAAAAATCAGGACTTTAATAATTAAATTAGCTTTCTGAGAAAAAGTTGATTCTAAAACGTTAATGACATTCACATCATACATTATGTATACCACAAAAGGAATGTCTGAAAGTCAAATGTGATATGAGAATTTGATGATGTAATTGCATGCAGTACATGTTTTTTTAGACATTAGTTGCATATTTATCTTAGGCAGTGTCTTCAAAGAGCCTGATTCTGTTTGGGGAAGAGATAAACATTTTAAAATAAACCATTTTTAGAAAGTGGTATATCTTTTATTTATTTTAATTTTTCCTATGTACAATTGTAAGAGGGTGTATACAACTGGACATGTGTGTGGAGATCTTAGGCTGATGTTGGCTATCTACCTCGATTACTCTTCAGTTTGTTGACTGAAATGGTATCTCCCGGAATGTGGAACAGACTGAATCAACTAGCCTGTCCAATCAGTTTGCTTCAAGGATTCTTTATGTCCATCTCCTGTCCAGTGGGAGTATGAAAGAGCAGGCATATCTACCCACCTGTCATTGTCATAGGTCCTAGGGGTCAGAATTCCCAAGCTCATACTCCATGCTGTGCTAACTGAACTATCTCTCCAGTCCTTGTTCATATATTTTGGAGAATGCCTTAACATCAGAATGTTGTCATTTTTTTTTATCTCGACCAAGTACCTGTCATTGCTAGGCAACATTATTCATCAAAGTTTGCTAATAGTGCATAAGTGGTTAAGGGCACAATCTAGTTAGAGAGCTGTTAATCCTAGGAGATATAGGTATACCATGTTGGCTGTTGCAGTTATTTGGCTTAAAGATACTTTGCGTCTATTATTGCACATTCTAATTGATAATTCAGGGCTCGTTTTTCTTGTGTTTTTGAGACAGACTCTTGTTTTACATATATATACATATATGTATATATATATATATTTATTTATTTATTTATTTATCTTCTGTTATCTGCTGTGCAGCCCTGCTGGCCTCACATTCTCCGCTCTCCTACCTCAGCCTCCCCAGTACTAAGAGTGCAGGTATATGCTATTAGCCTTGACTATTAAGGACACTTTTTAAATCACAGAAAAGCAAACAAAAGTCTTTAATCAAAAAGTGCTGTAACTTTATTTATTTATGTTTTGTGTGCTGGGAATAAAACATAGTCTCTCATTTGTGTTCTTTCTTAAGACAGTTAAATTTCTTGATATGTTTTTACCTCATGCAGACAATATCTACCACATCTTCATAATTCAAGTTAGAGAAAGATAGGAATTTCCCTCATAGATATGTATGGATACCTAGAGCTGAACTCCAATTCCAAATATCTCAGAAACTCATATCTGGATCCAGAGGAATATACAGTACAGGTCAGCCTATATTATGAAGTGATAACAAAACTCTCAACAGTCCTTGTATCTCATTATACTTATATAACAAGTCTTTCTATCTCATTTCAAGGCTATGAAAGGCTGCTTCTCGCTTCTAATGCCTGTATGTAGACATAGAATAAATACTTTTTAGCTGCCATCCTACCTGTAGAACAGTTTTGGATAGACCCGCTAACAGTGATCGTCATGGCCTCAGGGTGACAAATACCTCTTAATTTCCCGTTAATTAACTGGAAATAGTTATGTGGTCCCACTCAACTATTGTGACGGAGACGTGCCACCCCATTGTGCACTCAAAACAGAGGGTTAGCCACTATTTTAGTGGCCAATGCTCAAGAATGCCAGATGCACTATTTGACTTAAACAAGTTATTATCTGTTCTGACTCAGGAAGTATGTGATTTCACTTCACTTTACAGCCTCATGGAAACTAAGAGCATCGGTAGAAAAAAGTGAATAGTTACTACCTAGGGTGGGTTTAAGGAAGGATGAGCATTGTATTTAAAGTGAATTAATTTTTAGCTTCAGGGACTAAAAAAAATCTACTGTATCTGTGATTATAATCTAACATCCCATAGCCAATTTCCCTAATGTTTGTATTATTCTGTCTAAGTCCTGAAAAACCAATAGAGGATTTTCAAAATAATTTAAGTTTAGACCAATTCATTGTTTCTGAGTCATGGGACATATTGGTCTGTGAAACCGAAGTAAGTTTTATAATTCTACTTATCTACACACACACACATGCACATAAACACATACACCACCACATCACACAAATGCACACACACACACACATGCACACGCACACGCACACATACATACACACAGAGCAAGCAAGGCAGAGACAGAGAGAAATCTTGATTTTGGTAGCTAGCTAGACTGTTTCTGTCTCCCAGCAAGTTACAGGATATTTTCCCCCAAAGATGTCCAGTATCAATGTGTATTCTCACCTTTGGTTGTAAAGAATAAATGCTGCTTAAATGAATGCAAAATGAAAATTCATTGTAAGACCTCTTATTTAGTCTCTGAAGACTCCATGGTCTCTTTCACATTGATTTTTTCCCTTATTTCCCTAACATCTAAATGTTCTTCTTAATAGTCACATCTTTAATTAATTTTTTTAGTCCAGAGCATTGCAACCAAAGAAAAATGATGAGCCACAGTCTCTGCATTCCTATGTAGCCAAATGCCAAAGAAAGGAAACCGTGTTACCTCGCTCTTAGAATTTGGTCTGTGGAATGATCTCTAGTTGGCAAGCAGTATCATGCAGTACTTAAAACTGTCAATCTTTGGGAGGGACACAGTCTATAAACACAAAAGGCATTTAAGAATGTTTATTGGCTAACTGTAGGAAGTAGTATGGGAATATTAATACCACTTAACACTTTCAATTATTGCTTCATAAGTATCAATTCTTGAATATGTAATCCTTTAATAAAGACAGTATTATTCTAATGTGATAACCAAATGACCATACATAAGGTCATTTATAGGAGACTTCTGTCCCAGCCAGGAAAAGAAATAGTGTTAGAGTCAATGATTTTACCTAGCATGTTATACAATCATTCTTGAGTATCTCTAAAGTATCCATTCTTCATCTCTGAGTTCTTTATGTTTCTAAGAGTCCCCTTTTAATCCTCTTTGTACCATTAGTAAAATGTATTTCATTCTTCAAATCTACTCTTTCACACCAGCATTTTATTTTGCAAATATCCTTGAATATTAAATTTGTTCCTAACTCGTTCTACCTTCTTTGTACCACCTAGATGGCCCCACTCTGTACTATGATTGTATACGGATACTTCTGTAGGCAACGGCTATAATCATCCTGTCTTTCAATTCTTGAAGTCAGAAATCATTAGCAATACATAGCATACTCATGGTGGGTTGTTACTGGCTTAGTCACTTCATGAAAAGTAGATGTTTTGAGTGTGATTTGTGTTATGAAATTTTTTACTCATTTCTATTACTATATTATAGGACCAAGAGTGCCTCCATCAGAAAACCGGGTAACAATGCTTGTGACAATTTGAAACTACTAGGATTCAGAAGCAGAGACAGTGGTTGGTTTGGGATTGATGACGTTGTGGTGAGAACTGTCCAGAATGGCTTGGTATCTTTCGAATTATGTGAACACTTAGAAAGGTAAGACCATAGGAAGCAATCAGAGGTGATGACACTCTACTCCAGCCTGTAATTAATGGGTAGGATGGAATCCAAGGATTATATTTTTATTACTCAGATAGAAACATAAGCTGTCTTTTGGAGTACTTAAAAGGCAAACCACAATTGACATGGATCCACTGTGATTTTGCTCCTGATAGTTTAACTAGGACTTTCAAAATGACTTGTAGCATAGGTTTATTTTTATAGGTTTTTCTTAACACCAAAATAGTTTCAAAACAGCACCTTCATTTCTTAAATTCCACAGGATAGCAATTAACTGTTCGTATTATGCTCATCTCATAACTATGTAGATATAACCTGAATTTGTTATTTCAGTTCCTTCATTTAGCTTTCTCATTTCCATGTTTTCTAGACAGCCCATTAAAGGAGTGTTTTAGACAGCTTTAAGGTACAGGAGGAGTAAACACTCATGAGGAAAGGCAATCACATACATGCCTAAAGATAGGTTATATTTCGTAATGACGACATTACCTGTATGATTATCCCAGGCCAAATTCTGCGGAAACACAGTGTGAGATGAGAGGGCAAGGGACTGGTTGAGGAAGGCCTCTCTGGAAGACCCTATGAGGGAATGAAAGAAGCAGAGGAAACCATGGAGGATGATGGGAAAGCTGATTTTGTTTGGATTTTCCCCAGCCTGGTGCCTCAGCGAAGCTCTGGAATACCACAGTGGTTGGCTTTGAAAGTTACACCTGACGGTCCTTGTCTGTGAGAGAAGGCTGCTCTGGATGAGGGCTTCTGCTCTCTGGAGAACAAACAATGGTTAACTTGTCCCTTTCTGGGATCCAAGTCTGTATCAGCTTCCCTGGAGTGCTGTAACAAAATGTAACAAATCTATTATCTTACAGTTCTAGAGGCTCAGGGTCTCCAATCAAAATCTTTATAGGGTTTGATCCCTTTGAGAACTTGAAGAGAAGAATCTACTGGAAGTCTGTCCTTGGTTTATAAATGGCCCTCTTCCTCCTCAACAGTGTTTTCTGCATGCTTTTTTATGTTAAAAAAAAAAACATGTCCTTGAAGCACATGTCCGCGTGTCCTTGAAATTAGTGTCCTTGAAGCACACTAATAATACTGAGTTGGGGTCATCCTAGTGACTTTACCTTAATTTATATACTTCTGTAGTGACATAAAATGTTACATGAACACTAATATTTGAGGATAAGATTTAGGATGGGACATAAATTAATCTCATAACATGATCTGTCACAAAAATTCTCACATCACAGGATTAGAGATTAGTATTTCATCCCCACCTACATCTGTTACAGAAATAGATTTTTTGAACATAGTTTGCTTCCGTGTTTTGAAGTATTACTTTGATACTCTGCAACAGAGTGTAAGTGCCTTACCCTGTTTAATTATTGAATAACAAAAATTTCAAACCTTGCCAACTGCACATTCTTACAAAGAACACAGCATACTCACACAAGCCTGGGTGACTTAGTCTGTATAAATCTAAGTGTGCATGGTTGCAACTGATTTAAACATAAAATAGCTGGTTTATCAAACATCTTTCAGCATATAAAATATAGGATAAAAGATGTTTTAAAAAGTAACCTATATACATTTACTCTGAATGAAACTTGCCAGTCAGAGCATGGTTCAGGGAGAATCAGTGAACACGGAATTTTAACACAGGATGCTAGTCTACACTGTGCATAATTTATAAACACTGTAACATTGGTTAGACTAAATTTACTATATTTTTCTTCAATCATAAACAATATTTCTTACTATTATTTTGTTATTTCATATATTTCAAATGTTAGAATTTTAGATTATTTATACTATCAATTAGCCTAAATCAGAAACATACTGTTTGGCTATTTACTTTCTATTTACATATTCATGGCAATTCTCCTGCCTCTACCTCCTTACTGCTGGAATTACTGATGTAAACCAATCCATACAGATTTATTTAATTTAATTTTGTTGTTGTTAAAGTTTAAGGCACAAATAGACATTATTCTAGGCCTACATAGCATCAGAGTTATCATGCAAATACTTCCTTTTTCCTTTTTCCTTTGTCCACCAAAAGGTTGACTTGCAATCTCATCAGCCTGAGGAAGGATTGTTGTGAGTTCATGGCTAGATGGGCTACAGAGCAAGAATAAACCACTCAACAATAGTCAAGAATATGTTTTAGAATATAACTTGAGACCTAAGGAGAGGTTTCAGTCAGTAAAGTTACTGCCATGCAAACAAGAGGACCGCAGTTCAATTCCCCAGCACTCAAATACCTTAGCATGACAGCTCACATCTGCAACTCCAGTACTGATGAGAGCAGAGACAGGCCGATCTTTGGAACTCATTGGTCAGCAAGGCTAGGGGACCTGATGAACTCTCTTAGGTTCACCAAGACACTCTATGAGTCATTATATCTCAGATAATAAGGTGGAAAGGGATGGAGAGATACCTAACATTTAACATTGATCTCTGACCTCCACATGCATGCACATCCATGTGCCCACACAACCAAACGTACAGATGTACACACCCACACAAACAACATGCATATAAAACACACAGACAATGACAACAAAGAGCTTAGCTGATCTGAACTAGTTTCTTGACTGCCTGGAATTTCACTAAAGTCTCTCATTAATATAGGTAGTTGATCATCAGAATGCTTGCTCTAAGTTAAGAAAAGTAACTTTTTCCTTGGGTCTATGATATTTCAGTGCTTTTTATTCACCTTGAGTCTTGTCTCTTTCCCTTCGCACAGGTTTATTGTGCTCCACCTGTCTTCCACAGTGGACAATAGCCACTTGGTTTCTTTTGTGAAGTCTCTAGAGGAAGCCTCCCTCAGCACCACAGCCTGCATTGTTCTGTCACACCAGAAGGACAATCCACACAGACTGGTTATTTTAGTGCCACCTTCTAAGGAGTTAAATCTGACACTGAAGAACTTGCGCTCGGAAGGGTTTGGAGGACTTTCAGAATCATCTAGACATTTCCAAGTAAGAGAAGGAGAACAACTTCTTTTAAGGTTTACTGGAAACATATTTGGCTCAAGTAAGTATGAGGAAATAGGCTTATATATTCTAAAGACTATAAGACACAATCCTTAGCTGCAACACCCTAAACTTGTATTACTAAGGAAGACTTTGTTTTCGAGAATTTTGGGAAACATTTGGAGACTAGTCTATCTAGACACTATTCTTCTTCTGCACAGGAGCACATGTGCCTTTACAGACAGATTGGAAGTGACATTCTTTTAGAAAGAGTCTTCTTTGTGATTGCCCCCGTGAATTCAGGCTAGCCTTACCTCTTCCCTGTGACAGCTTCCTCTTCTAAATGCTCCCTGCTTCCACTTGGTATTGTGAATTTTTACACACAGTAATAATAATCTGTTGAGAAGCATGTCATGTGACAGATGACCTCTCACTTATGATGATTTGACATAGAAAAGTTGGCTTTATGATGAGCAATAGCAATAGATGTCCAAGTAGAAATAACACATTCTGGGTTTTGATCTTTCTCCAGTTTAATGGTTTCAGGAATGATTCAGTCTGAGACGTCACAGGTCTTAGTTGGCCACCCAGTCTTAAGGAGAAAGAACTAATATTCTGTTGCATATTGGTTTGCTAAGCCACGGTGTTAAGTATCTGAAGTATATTAAATGCGGTTTTGACATGATATTTTCAATTTGTTACGTTTCTAAGAATGTGACAGCGCCAGAAGTCCAGGAGCATCCGTCTGGTATTCTTCTGAACTGTATTGGCTTCCATTGCACCTTCAGTTATCTACATAGTCTTTAATGTATCCTTCAAGAATCCAGCATGGGTCAGTAGGTCCATAAATAAAACATAAAAATATGCTTTATGTTGCTTATTTTAAATTATAGTCTCAGAAGTGTGTTCTGCATTTGGAAAGTGGTCTGAGGTACAAAAGATGCTTAGGAATACTGTATGATGGTGACACACCCCTCAGATTTCTCATTCTCACATTTACCCAGTGTTAATTTTATTTCTGTTATAAACCTAATTCAAATTAGAAATTATTGATTCCCAGGTTTAGGTTTTGTTCATATTCTCAGGAGATACTCTTCACTGAAATGAAAGTTTGGGGGACTTACTTGTCTGATGCCCTCTGAGCCTCACAACACCGTCTTTCATTGACGGTAGAGAATGTATAAGCTATGACAGTGCTGAGGAAAAAAAAAAACGAGGTGGTGGCCATGGGAAGAACTGGAGGGGAGGGAGAAGTGAGTGCTTAGTGAGGTGAAGAAGATACAAGGCAGTGAAAGGGGAAGTGAAAGAGGAAAAGAGAAGAAAAGTAAAGCGATAGCTAAAGGCACAGAACGAAAGGTCTTCAGAGGATTTGCCATCTGGGCATTTGTTTTCATCATCTACTCAATTTCCAATTTCTTCCTTGAGTAAAATAGAATATCAAAGGTTTACTTATAAGGGTGGGGTATAAGGGAACATTAAAGAGTAAATTTTGTAGAGATTTCTGAATCAGGAACCTTACTACAGCCTTGACTTGATTTAATTGTTGTATATTTATAAATCAATATGCATAACATTGAATCCATGATGCCTACTAGCTCTCATTCAGAAAAGGGCCCCCAAACCTTATGTGGTATTTGTATGTAGCTAACAAAGAAAACGAGATTTCAAGCCAGTCCTGGCCCTCACAAGGATAAGTGAGACTCTGTTACCCAATATCTCCAAGTCTCAACTGTCTCTTCCATTCTTACATAAAGCAACTCTGTCATTGGAGGAGGGGAGAAAGGAAGGATGTGAACGACACCTTCCTACTTAACTTTTAAAGCAGAAACCACACTGCAGATCCAAGGAAACTCTCTAAAGAGAGATAGTCAGAGCTCGGAAGTACTCCACCCTAACTAATGGTACAAATGATTTTTTCTGTAATACCTAAGAGGCAGCTAAACAGGACTGAGCTGCTTTCTTCCCAAGCAGAGAACTTGTTGTCTTCACTGAGTCAGACAAGGGTCCCATGCTAAATTAAGACACCGAAAGACTGGCAGCATGTATGCCAGCTTGTCTATGAGGAATGGATATGATCTAACTGTCATTCAAAGAAATCGAGGCAGGCAAGATATCCATATTCTTTCTAGTGTCCATTTCCAGGAGATTCTTGTTCATATTGGGATCCTCACTAGAAATTTCTGGATCTAGGAAGAACAGGACTCTCCACAAGGGCTGATCTCTATCTCTTCATCAGAATCAGAGAAGCTGAAAGATATACCCGAGGTGTCCTCTGCCTGCTGGGCCCTAATATCCTCCCTGATGCCTTCTCTCCTACCCTAATGACTCCCATTTCATCTTCTTAGTGGTCATGTTTGAGGAAGTCTTCCTTATTCTTTCTCATCACATCATTCCTGTTTAGTTTATTTTCACAGATGTTCACCTTTTCTTTTGTGGCCCCTACCACAGATGCCACCTTCTATTTACTCACTCAATGTGAGTTTCTCTAGCTCCCCATTGGAGGCAGGCAGTGTGGTTGGGGGCACCATGCGACCCCCAGCACCTAGGATCAGAAGGCATGAAGAGCGGTACCAGGAGATGAAGAATGATCTTTCCTAGGACCATTGCAAAAGATTGTACCAGTTGTGATGTGTGCTCCACAGAGGGCTAACATGATAAGCTAGACCACAACTCTGTTAAGAATTAGCTTCACTGTGAGAGTTGAAGAGATCAGTTAATGAGTCATTTCTGTAATTGAGCCATTTTTTGTAAGACCTTGGCAGACCTTTGAGTAGAAGTTGTGGATAGTGGGTAAGAATCAAAAAAACACCCAGTGACACTGCTTCAGGATACCTAGTTTCCTGGTATAACTAGCACTTTTGCTTCCTCATCTGGCTTTTCTAAGGAAAGCACTTCTTCATGTGTGTGTATTGCCTATGGCATAAAAAAAAAAGACATGTAACCCACCCTTCTGAGAACAATTATGTATTGCTGTAAGAAGACTCCAGTTACTCACAAAAGATAAATAGTTTTTTAACATGGCAAGTATTTCTGCAATAGTGATTGTCTCAATTGTCTACTAAGGACTATGTGTTATATGGTGAGAAGGGAAAACACTCTCCAAAGGTCAAGCAGTCAAAACTGTCCTTTGTGAGTTTGAAATGTCATTTTCATTTTTACTTCTTTATATGTGTTAGAGGAAGAAGAAAAATACTGTTATTCTTTTTACGTTTTTTTAAACCTATTGTTCCTTTTTATTGGAGACTGATGACCCTCAGAATATAGTGTTCTCTCTTAACGACACAAGCCCAAATTTTTAAAAAATTACATAACAAGTCATTTATAAGACCACCCATCTGTTACTGATAAATCATCAGTAGGTGTATCACTATTTAATTTATAGATGTGACTGTTAGAGTTCCTTTACAGATACCACTATTTTTTTTTTACAAGTTGTTGACTGGCAATGGTAGGGTTACAGAGTTTAGATCTGAATTTAACCAAATTAGGGTTATCTGCATTGTATGGACGCTGCATATTAATCATCACTAATAAGTAATTGTAAATCTCACAGGGAAAGAAGAGATAAAACAGTAGCAGCAGCAGCAACAACAACAACAACAAAGAAATTTCCTAAGTCATAGTTTACTAGGACCAGAGTAGTGTTGTTTCTTCTGATAATTCTTGGGGTGGGAAACAGAGATCTTACCTGGCTTTACTCAGGGTATCTGAAAACTTTAATTCACAATTTAGGTCACATTTAAATCACCCCAAATAATTTATCATTAAAAAATGCTGATCTGAATCCTTCTTAAGAAAGATACCCCTCTTCCCGTAAGTTACTGTCTTCGAAGAGATCTGCTTCACTCAAGGGGCCAGATTGCCACAACACGATCTTCTGTAAAGGAGACCATTCCTGTCCTTTCCATAACTGAGAACTGGTCTATTCCTGCTTTGAAATGTAGTTTAGAAATTTGCTAAAAATGCCTTTTAGAACCCACAGTAAGGAAGCTGCAATGTCTTCAAAATATTTTACTATCTAGAAAATATTTTACTGAATTTTTCTTTCTAGGCAAGACAGAAAGCGCTCATTTTGTGAGAGATAGCTGAGGACTAGCAGCTTTATGGATGCCTAGAGAGCGGACCTTCAGTTGGGAATTTCAATAAAGGTTTACTTATTTTGTTTAGCATGCAGATGAAATACAGCAAGAGAACCCTGCTTCAGTCTCTTCGTTTGCTATTGTGCTGTCATTTATCCAACATTTAATATACATCAGGAGTTGGGGCAATTATTTTGTCCAAATTACATCAAGTCCTTTTTAAGGGTAATCTTAGACAGCAAGTGCTGTTTCTCTTGTTTTGAAGATGAGGAAGTTAAGGAAGGGCCTGAGAGTTCCTCTAGTGTGAAAACACTGGACAGATAGTACCATGTAGACAAATGACAGAGGCTGGATTTTACACTAGACATTTACATCTGCAACATGCCAACTCAGCTGTACTCTCAGAATTCCTAAAGATGCTGCAATGGTGATACAGGCAGGCACTATCTTAAGGAGCAGCAGTGTCCCTTTCACACCTGCAGAGGTGGAAATTCCTATTCACAAGCTTCATTATTTTCAAAGAGAAGACTTATCTTTGTCTTCCTTTTCAGAGAATCCTCCATACTTTCTTAATAGTTTCAATAAATCCAGTAAATATTCCATTTTGAAGATCCATAGTATTGTCTTTTTCATTATTGTGAATATATTTTATTTCTGTTCTCTTTTCTACATAAGCCTTTAGCTTGGTGGTGCTGGCACATACTTTGAATCCCAGAACTTGGGAGGCAGAGGTAGATGGATCTCTGAGTTTGAGGTCAGCCTGGTCTATTAGTCCAGGACAGCCAGTGCTACACAGAGAGACATTTTCTTGAAGAAAAAATACACCAAACAAACCAACAAGACTAAGGAAACCATGAGATTGAAGTGGTAGCCACTGAGTATAGTAAGCATGGGTAGAGTAACTGAGAAGCTGAATTTTTAAATATTGTGTGTGTGTGTGTGTGTGTGTGTGTGTATGTGTGTAGATTATAGGACATCTGTAGGGGTTTGTTCTTGCTTTCCATCACATGGGATCTAAGGATTGAAGTCAGGTAATCATGCATTGTGGCAAGCAGAACTTTACCAGTTGAACCATCTAGGAAGTCAAAGAGTTGAATTTTCAATGGTCTTTAATTTAATTTTAATTTACACTTAAGTAGCCGCATGTCCCAGGAGAATACATTACTAAAATATTCAATGTGAGGTCATGGCAGTGCACAGTGTGATAGGAACAGCACAGAGGAAGGGAAATATAATTCTTGGAAAGTGAGGGAAACTTTCTAAATACTTGAAAATGTGAATATTTCTCCAAAATATTCATGGAAATTTATAAACAGGCAAAAGAAAAGCAGAAATGATTCCATGTAGGAGCTTTGAGAGAATATGTGGTCCTCTTACAGGTGAGAAATCTTCTTAATGATCTACAATAACCACGCCATTGCTCTTAGGTTATATGTTCATAAGGGATGGCATAGGCAAGCACTGTAACTATATTTGATAAATGAAAGTTCACTTGGATTTTCAAAAACGAAAGCAAGTGGATTATTTTATTGGTGACAAATCAATCTCTTTTTAGGCAATGGGAAGGATTATGGGAAAGACTACAAACTCATTTTCCACCTGCAAAGAAAACCGAGGCTAGAACTCCACATCAAAGAGGTGGATGAATTTGGGAACTATAGCTGTCCTCATTATAAAGGCGCCATTGTGGTTTATAAGTTACCCAGAGAGAAGGTTGTCCCTGGCTTCGATCAATCCCTTCATGAAAATATTTACCAGTTACCAGTTTGTAAATTACCATTGAAATTGCCCAAGGTAAGTTACACTGATCTTCCTATGTAACTTTTGTTACTTCTTTGTAATTCCCTATTACAATCAGTTCAGCAAGCAAATGGCTACAGAAGGTTAAAACACATAATAATAAATTTGATAAAGGACCAGGTAGGGCCAATTCTAGAGTGATGGAATATGTATCAGGTTTCTGCTGTTGCTGATGTTAGTTTTTCTCACTAGAGCAATGGAATTTGATTGGTTCTTCACAACAGGTTGCTAATGACTATGGAAACAATGTCATTCATCTTCTGTACCTACATCTAAAAAATCTGAGACATCATTTGTGAAAACACTGAGTGCATTTCAGAGCGTACTCGAAGGACAGATCATTCTGAACACGGGACTAACATCAAAATAACTTCAGTAAGACTAAATTACCCCAGCACGTTTACAAATTTTTATTAGCTAAAAATCTGCTTCCTGACAGAAAGTCGGCTTAAACTGCCTCCCAAAATAGTCTAACACATAAAAATATATAAGCATTTTATCATTGTATAAGTAATTTCTTTCTGTAAATAAGTATAACTAACTATATTCTTAATGGAAATAATGCTGAAAATAATGTTATTTCTGTCTTGCAAAGAGGCTTGTTACTTTTAAAGGAAGCTAAATTGTTTTATTCTATTCTTCCCATCTGTGTTTTGAATCTCAGAATATGTTTTCCATATACAGATTTTGTACATTTTTAGGAGTCATATAGCTCAGACTATACATAAACTCACTACATAGCTGAGGATGACCTTAAACCTCAAATCCCCTCGCTTAGATCCAAGTATTAGTATTACAGGGGTGAACCATCACAGTTAGCCTTTGTACTGCCCTTAATTAATGAATATTAATTGTACTTCTGAAAGAGACAAGCTTTTCTACATGTTATCATTAATACAGAGCTATAGACAGAAAAGGTAATCAGAAGCTGTGTTGTCAGGAATGGTAGCTACTGCCCACATGACTATCCTCAAACATGGAGCAATGTATGGCTAATCTCAAAGGGAATATCCTGTGTCAGATAGATCTAATTAGAGATATGAATGAATCATAACCTGTTTATATGATGAAATTGCATATTTGTAATATTTTTGGTTTGATCAGGTTAAATAATATATTCTATAAATAAATTTTATTTTTCTTTAAGTAAGTGCTAAATTGAAATATACATCTCAAACCATTTTCTGTGGACCAGCACTTTCCTCGATAAATAGAACCTAATGAAGTATGTAAAACATGTATATAAAAATATATTAGAAGGTTATAATGAATTAAATATTGGTATAAATAATGCCTTAATAGTTGTTTAAAAAGTTGAGGAGAGCATCACAGAAAGCTGAAAACAGTATACCTTTTGTGATGAGTGCATCACTTTTTTCTAACCTGTTTTGTTTTTGGGAATTTAACCACTAGACACAAAGGGGAAACTGGTCTACAGCAAGGAAATGGAATGCTTTTGCTTGGGATAATAGAAATATCTTAGCAGAAATTCACATTTCAATTAAAGCCATTACCACAGTTTCTAAAACAGAAAATGCTTTTAAGTGCTTTTACATGCACTGTCCTTAAATCCTTACCGAATCTTTTGCTGCCATTGTTCTTGTGTTACTGGAAGTGGAGACAGAACAGGTTCAGTCACGTTGTCTGGGATCCAAGAGCAAAGTGCAGAGGAAGGATTCCAACTCAAGAAATCTGTTCCTCGGGTGCTCAGCAACCATTTTGCTCCTGCTTCTTAGCAGACATAGCTTCTATTCCTAGACCACAAAGCAGAATAGAGTTGTAGGTATCTAGATTCTCCCTAAAAGTTGTAGAACAATTTAAAAAAGAGTATAGGCAAACTATTAGAAAAAGGTAGCAAATAGCATGTCATGGACACCAGCCAAACCAAAGCAGAACTAAAGCAGCCTCCGTGAAGAGGAGCTTAATTGCAAAGAGCATGCACTGAGTCATGTGAGCCCTTTCCTTGCTGAATTGAAGGAGGGTGCTAGGTGGTGTTTTGAGCAGAGAAGGACATGCTGTTAATACACTGATTGTACAAACTGTTATACGTTCAGAACAGTATAGTCATCTAAATGAATACTCAGCCCAAATATATCTATTTGCCCCAGTGGAGGTCTGGGGATAATTTTGGGAAACTGGTTCTCTCCTTTGCCCACTCAGCAGTCTCTTTAGCTCTTATTTTGAGTCTAATTTGTATAACAATTTATATACTATATGGGATGTACAAAGTTATAGAGCATGTATTTAGCATATGTGAGATTCTGGCTTCAATCACCATTAGTAGTAACTGAGAAATACATATTTATGATGTAGAATTTTTGATACATACATAACATGTACTGATCAAGTTGCGAGAATTAGGATAGCCATCACCTCAAACATTAGTTTTTTCAGAGTACCTAGGAAGGAAGAATTTGAATATTCTCCTGTATTTAGCTCTTTCAAGTCCCTGCAAACATGCCATTTGCTGTCCTTATCCCCCACCTACTAGGTATCTTTTAAGTTGCAACCGTCTTTAGGTTTATTTGCTGTATTTAGACCTAGTCTGTCCTGCCCAGTTCCTGGTCTAAACGGTGAGAAGACAGCCTGACTCAGATCAGGCACGAAATATGTGTGATTACACAGGAGAGGTGTTTTGTATACAGCCCTCATTAGCTTCCCTGGGGATTCCAACTGTGAAGTGGATGGAACACATGGACTTTTTCAGATTAAGATCTTAGAGCTTAATTGTGCAAGCCCTTGCCTGTCACCCTGAGGAGAGAAGATGTGCGTGAACACATAAAGGTTAGGAGTGGAGAATGCCCATGAGGACTGCCCTCTGGACTGCTTAATTGAGCATGTTTCTTCCAGAGAGCGGGGTCATTCTTCTGCAGCTATGACATGATCAGAGGGAGACAAAACTGAGCACGGTAGGACCTTCTCGTATAAAGTGCCAGGACTTTACTTCCACTGTGCAAAGCTGTGGGAAGAGAGAACTTATGTACAGAAAACGGAATTTCAATACAAATGTGACATAAATTGAACTTTCAGTTATCCATTTTTTCTCTGTGGCCTGTATGATTCTTGAAATCATTAGGTAGGTTAGCCAAGGTAGTCAATTTAGGAGTTTATGGAGATTTTCCCTGTGAGAGCTTGTAAGTGATCACCATAAATGTGTCACAAACTCTTTTCCTGCTCTGAGTCTGACACACACTCTCACCCAGTGGCCTGCTCCTGTTGGCTTCCTCTTGTCCCTCTGCCTCAGAGTGACCTTTCCCAGGGAGCTGTCCTGACTTCACCATTTAGTCTAAGCTCAGTGTTCCTCATCTGTACAGGAACAGATTCTGTACTTTATCTCTTTTTATCACTTTTATCTCTTTTTATTACTTTTATCACGTTTCATGACAACGCCTTGCTTATTCTTTCTCAATGAACACTTTTCCACGTTACTGTTTTTATTGCCTTCATTAAGAATCTTTTAGACATTTTCTCGAGCCATTATCAACCCCTCAGAAATTCTATTACAGATAAATGCTTATGTATGTTATTTGTACAAATGTATGTGTGTTTTAAATGGGAGACACATAAATTATTTTTTAATTCTAACTTTTATAGACATAAATTATTTGTTTTTATTTTCATACTCATCTTTATCCCGTGATACCCCCTTTCTTTTCCTCCAATCACCTTCTTCTTTCCACTTAGTCTCCTAGTGGCTACACCATTAGAGAAAAAGATCCATGCTCCTCTAGCAGTTGTTAACAGTCGTTCACTCTTCAGACAGGAAGTAGGCCTCATGAGGATCTCCTGTATCCATGGTGGAAATGGTGGGAGCCCAGTCTATAGCTACTACTCAGGCTTCCAAGAACAATGGCAGATCTGGATGACAGCAGTACATGGTCCACTTACCCATCCTCTGTCCATTAACTTCTTTTTGACCACTCTTCTGCAATGTTCTCTGCATCTTCAGGTGCGTGCATGTGTGCATGCATTTGTTTGTATTTGTGTGTTTATGTTATGTTGTTTAAGACTGAGCACCCATTTGTTACTGATTCTCATCATTTTGAACAAATACGAGTCTCTGAATTAATTGCCACCCTCCTCAAAAACCCATATATCTGTCCCATACTGAAAGTAGAACTAGTTATGGATAAAAATATAAATATCTATTAGGAAGCAAGGAAGGAACACTGGGAGTGAAGCACTAAGTCAGGGAATTAACAAATATAAAATAAAGAATAAATAGCAAAGTATTGCTGCATCGGCATGAAAATACTTAAGTGGGATTGGGGAAATGGTGGGGTTTGGAGGGTTACCGAAAGGTAAAGATACATGTAAAATGTCTATGGCCTTGCCTTATACAATTAAAAAAAAAACAAAACAAACAAGTTTTAAAAAAGTTTGGTATGGAGGTACTTTTCCTTAATGGACGACTAATTCTGTTCTAAGAAGCCATAGGCTTTTAAGCAAAACCTTTATTAGATGTGGAATACCTACCTAGGAGTTGTTGACCAGAAAAGTCTCAGAGGCTCCAAAACAATACAGCCTTGTCTTGGTTCCCAACAAGAATATGCTGATAAAACTGTATCTTGAATACATGCTCTGTTATAGGACACAGAAATCAAAATGGAACTGAGCCACCCCCCCCATCCAAACTAGCCACAGTGCTAGAACATGCTATTCAAGTTTCTGGGAAAGTAAACTCCCTCAGCTATAGATCATGCTTGCTGCAATACAGACCTGCCAGGCAAGATATCTCCTGGTTCACTAGTGCCGCCACTCCTACTATTTTAGAGATAACCAACTGCTCTAAAATTGGATGTGAAGTCCACTCTTTATGTTGGAATCCAGACCTGGTGCTATAATGTTGTTCACAAACACATGGCTAGAAAAGACATCCTCCAACCTGGGAACACACTAGTATTTTTCTAAATAAGCATGTTGTGAAACTACTTTCTGATTATTTCAGAATGTAACTTCCTCTCTCCCTCCCTTCCTTCTTTTCTTCTTATCTCCTCATCTTTCCTTCTCTCTTTCCTCCACCCTGTCCTCTTCTGGTTGCATTTAGAAGACATCTCTCCTGGGGGGCTTTGTTTCTCCACCTGGGAAGGCATGATTGACAACACAAACTTTTAAGTTTTTCTACACAACTCTACCAAGCAACTGACAGCACAGTTTCAGAGTGTCTTTGTAAGAGACTAGATCAATAAAGTCATTTCTACTAGTGTTAAAATTGTGCAAACTTGAAACTTACCATCTTGAAACTATATCATCATGTTAGAGTGTCTTAAATATCTGCTGCTTTTCATAGACTAATTGATGATCAATATGACATCTGTACTTTCTTTTCCTCCCGGATGGGTTTGTACAGGGCTTTCCAAACTCACACTCTAGGCCATAGCTTTACACAAAGCCTCTGCAAATGAGTTCCTCAGAGCTGAGAAAGAATCTGTGGCTGCGGAAGCTTTTCTCCCCGTTTATCACTAATGTGTACCTAAACGGGAACTGAAACTGTGAACTTTGTTTTGTGAACACAGACTACTTCCACAAAATGTAGAGTAAGAAAAAGATCTCCAGCTCAGATAAGCAGCATGAAAATGTGTTACTTCTCAGTAAGTAGAAGTATGCACAGAAGGCAAACAGTAAATACTTCTAGCAGAAAAAAATGCTGTGGCTTACTTTCCATTAATACAAGAAACTATAATATTAAGCACCACTTAGAACAGTTTGAAAACCGTATCCCCTTAAATGATTCTAATTTAAAGCAAACTAACACATAAACTCCACCACAAACAAGTCCACCCTAGTACCTTGGGAAGGTCTAGATAGCTAAGTGTTTGTTACAGGATAAATAAAATCGAAATGTCCTTTTTACCTGTAAGGTCAAGACTTCAAGAATTTTGAAAAAAAAAAAGCATCTCAAAGACACACTGTGTCATCAGAAGGTCACTGTGTGTTATGTGTGTATACAGTCACACATATTTGCACACAAGTAATCACAAGGTATAATATTAATGCACTGTAAGACTCCTCAAACAATGATGATCATTTGCAATTTTTATGTGTTTACTTCCTGCTTGTGAGAATACCTTATATCCTTCAACTTTCCTACTTTGCTCATTCCTCTAAATTAATTTAAATTAATTCCTTTAAATTAATTCCTTAAAAAACATGTTCTGTATGTGATGGGCCACATATACAATAGTGATCCAGTATGGATAGTATATTATTTACTTCTCTTGTCACTGCAACCAAATACCTTGTGAAAAGCACGATATGAAGATTTGTTCTGGTTCACAGTTAGATGGTAAAGCCCATCTTGACACAAAGGCTTGGTGACAAGAATGGTTGGTAGCTGGAGCACTGGGGTGTTCTCGAATTGGTGTGTTTTAGGAGTCATACAGAAACAAATGCAGGGTTTAACCTTTTTTCTCCTTTTTACCTTCCAATCCAGTGCGGGACCCCTATTGCATGGGATTTTGCAACCCACGTTCAAAGTCTTCCCTTCTCTGTCTAACTTCAATGTACACATTCTCCCAGATACCAGAGGTGTGTCTCCCAGGCAACTCCAAATTCCCCTAAGATAACAATGAAGAAAAAATTGTAATAGTCTAATCCTTCTCTTGTTTCTCTGAGGTCCATCTTTTATTTCTAGGACAGCGGTATCTTTAATGTATTATTCAGATCACATGACTGCTGCAAACTCTGCAATGACTCTCGTTTCCCTTAGAGCATGGGCTCCGCTCATGTGACAGAAATATGTTCCAAGATTTCCAGTGCCTGCTAGAAATTGTCGACATCTAAGGGAATGGACTTCTTTATGTGTATATCGCTATGATAAAGTTGTACTTTATAAATTATGCAGGGTAAGATATTAACAAGCACAACTAACAATTAAGTGGAACAATTTATAATTTACTATAATAAAATTTCCTTAAGATTTATGATTTTTTTATTTCTGGGAATTTCCATTCAATA